CTTAAGATCTATTGCTTGTTAATCTGTAAACATTCCTGCTCCATTTTCCATTGCACTGACAGAAAAACACGACCAATTCTTTGCTAATGCACAGCTATCGCAGTGTATTGTCTAAGCTGCCACATCCCTACAGATTTTGCAGGGTGCAAAGCAGAGAGGTGCTCTGGTATTTTCGGTTATACAGATTAAGCTTTGGTATAAGAGAAGGTTTCTGTTTGCTGAATCTCTGTGCTGTGGTGAATCTCTGTGCAGTGAGCTTAGTTAATTAATTAAACCTACCCTTTCCTACTGAAGTCTTATGCCATGTACCCATTGACACACCACACTTGGCTGATGTGGTTGAGTGAATATTCCCCGATGAAAGTTTCTCTTATGTGCAGAGTATCATCTTGCCAAACAAGAGCACTTCCAGCATTGTATGTCATGAGGGCAGGGTCACACCTTCTGGCTCTGTGATGTGGCACAGCAAGACTAGCATTCTCTGATAGTGGAAAATGCAGCACCAATACCAAAGAGATTGACCTTGCCTCTTTGGGATACATTGAAGCCAAATATGAGATTATCTATATTTGAAAAGGAAAATTCACCACTTTTTTAAATGCAGCCAATGATGGAGGGTATGTTACTCCTGCAACAGAAGTGATGGATGCTCCTGAGAATGAGATTTCTCTGTAAATTGCATTCCAGAACTATTTGAACAGACTTCTTGTACACCCGTAGTTGTTCCAAGAGCCCACACAAAGCACAGATGTACCAGTAGTTCCCTATCCCACAGAGGACTTCATAACTCAGAGCTCACAGGGCAACAAAAGGAAGCCTACAGTGATGCTCTCTGCGGCAGCTTCTTTATGGAAAGGACTAGGAACCCACACCCTCTCAGACACATTCTAGTGACCAGGTAAATCTGCTCTCTGAAACTCTCAGCTGAGCAGCCAGAGGTGCTGTTTAGCTGTTAAGTTACAAGGCTCCAGTAAACTCCAACCCTATTCTGCCACCAGTATACTGACCTGGAAGTTTGCTCTGCAAAGCAGAATCCAGTTATCTGGCAAGGAAATCCTCTATAGTGCAGTATTACCTGAAAGAAGAGGAATATGTTGTTATAGCTCATACAATTCTTTTTTTTTTTTTTTTTTCCACAGGCCTAGCAAAAATATGAGTTTCCCGCCTTCCATTAGCTCAGCCGTTAGCATGAACTCATTCAGTCTGGGCCCAGGGATGAGCAGTCTCTGCCACGCTGAGATGCTGAGCTGAACATTTTTTTGTTTTCTCCAGGTCTTAGAATCAGTGTATGATGTAACCCCTGCTTCACGCCCTTGTGCTGTGCTGCCCAGCCCCACAGCAAACTCAGTGCCTTCCTGTGTGGGTCTGGAGATCTCATGCCAGGGATTTGGAGCCAAGTGGGCCTGAGGGGATGCAAGCAAGTAAAGTCAACTGCTCAACCTGTTCATCCAAACAGAAAAGATTGTTAGCAGTGGTTCTAGCCCTATGAAGTTCAAAAAACCCAACAACAAAGCCTGAGATCAATATTTGAGTGACTTGTCTGTCTTCAGTGTTGGGTAGTGTGAAAGCACAGGTGAAGAAGCAACACACCAGTCAGGACAGAAATAATGTTTTTTATTGCGACCTGCAGGGGGAAGCATGTAAAATTACAGGGAAGGAAGCACAGGTGTTAGGGTTACCAAGCAACCACAGTATTAAAAATAATGTGACAGGAAAGCAGGGAAAAAGGGATCCAACCAGAGAGCTGCCTGCCCAATTAGATGCCTGTGTCAGTGATGAAGTGAGCACATTAGGATTTCATGGCAGGTGAAGAAATCTGAGGTAGACAGAAGCTGAAGAGAAAAAAATGTATGTCACTAAATGGACAGAGCGGAGATGAGAATTATTATCGCTGGAATAAAACCCTCTTCTTAATTATTATAAAGCTTGGAGTTGTACAAGCAGAAAGATGATGAGAAGTTCCATTTGTGATCTGCCTCTGATATTTCTGGTTTGATTTTTCAGCTCTTTCAAAACAATGAAATTAAGCTTTTCTTTTGCACTTCCTGATCTGGTCAGCCTGCCCTGCTCTGCTTCCTCCCACTGGGCTGCACTGAACGCTGCCACTGTGCAGCACAGGGCTCGCTGCCAACCAAGCCCTGGTTTTGACAGAGAGTACAGTTAACCAGGAAAGCACATCCCGATTTTGTTCTTCACAGTGGAGACATTTGTTTTTCTCAAACCTTCTTTCAGATCAGCCAGATGCCTGGCTAAAGACATAAAAAGGATGATTTGGCCACATTTATAAATTTATAAAGCACTGCAAAACAATGGCATTCAAGGCCTACTGAAAGATATTCTGAAATTGCTATGTAGTGTGGTGCAGAGACTGTGGCTATTTCCAGCACGTGCAGTACAGAGGCTCCACGGGTGGGCGATTGCTTTGCCTTCCTTCCCCCCACTGCCCTTGGCTCAGTGGCTTTGAGCAGGGTCAGGATTCTGCTCCCGGGCTCGGATCTGCTTCGTGGAAATGGGGTATCAATGAAATACCAGCTGGCTGCAAAGCCAATGAATGGATCCAGTTGGAGGCTGAGCAGCAGTTACTTGATAGATCATCCTGCTTCTCTGTGGACACCTCTGTTTGTCTCCAAATGTGTGCATCTAAGAGGACGTAGGACAACTTCTGGATCATGCATGTGTCCCATTTGCTCCAAGGAGGTGATCCCACACCTGCAGATTGTACTTGTTGCCTTCTTCTCTAGTGAGCTTCAGTGCTGACAATGTCAATCCAATTATAAATGTCTGCAGAAACAAAAAGGCCAGCATCCTGACTTTCAGTGATGCATTAATAAGAGATCACGTGCCAGATGACATAGCTGGTGCTTCTTTGCTTGAGATCTCATTTCCTCTCCTGCCTGCAGTCGTAGCAGCTTTGTGGCATCCTGACATTTCTTCTTTATTAACTTCTTGATAGATAGCCTTTTGGGGTTTATTAGGAGATTAATAGTTTTCAAGAAGCTTTTAGGATATTACCAAGGTTTTATCTTTTTTTTTTTTTTCTTCTTTTTTTTTCCCCTGTACCTTTAAACATGTGACTCAGTAGAGCAATGTGAGATGCTCTGAGGATGCTGGAAGTAGTGCTCTTCTCAATAGGCTCAGGCTCCTGCTGCTTCCAGCAGTGAGCTGATAGCAACAAGGGGAACCCACTTCTGAAGAGGGCACCAGCTGCAGCCATCGTGGCAGCCACTTCAGTTAGATCTTCCCTGTGGCATTTTTCCAGTAGGAAAAAAAAAGATCACACAAGCCTGGCTTTTTTTTTTCTATAGTCAGTGCATGTGATTAGCAGCATTTATAAAAACTGTGCATAAAACAGTATCTCAGGAAGGAAAAGTACAGGCAGATGCACTGAACAAAAGGAGAAATTAACGACTTTGAAGTCAGCAGAAGTGCCTGATTAAGGATATGAAGAACAGAATTCTGCAATCTGTCCATTTTATAGGTTTCTAAAGCATCATTCCACAATGAATTTTGAGGCCTACAGAAAGCTATGGTATAAATGACTACATATGTGGTATAGCTAAAGATACCATTGAAATTTTCATTATTTTCCAGATGGAAACAAGGAAATCTCACCAGCAAAATGATAATACAAATTAAGGGACACGTATTCATAGTAGCCCAATTAAACCTCCCATTTAAAGATGTTGTGGATGTTGTGGTTTTAGCATTTTCCTTGCACTGCTTATAATTTTCTAGCACTACTTGGTTCTTACAAAAAGAAACATTTTCCCATTCCTATTTAATATAGAACTGGTAGCAACTCACTCATTTCATATGCAGTTCAAGCCCTGCAATTTTGTGTTAGGACAGGAACTTAAATTTCCCTTGCAATTCAGATGAAAGCTAGAGTTGCACAGAACAGTCAATGGGACTTGGAGCTTGTTACTGTTACAGTTCACTCATAGGTTGGCAGAATCCAAAGCTCTGTGATGATCTCCTTGTTCTGAAGACTCTGATATGTTTTGGAAACTACCCAGGGTATAATGACAAGTATACAGAGACAATGCTTTTTACCTGATGACATACAGCTACATTATTATTTCTGCCTTTGTGGTCTGTGGAGATGTGCACAAAGACTACCATTAGTAGACAGAGTCCTCTCAATTTAGTTCTGTTTATGTGAGACCATAAAGGGAGTCCTTGCTAACGTCCCCTCCGTACCCATAATGCGATCGGAGCCAATCCCACATCCACTGCGGATAAAGAAGATTGTAAATTAGGAGCAGTCTCTGTTATTCTGTGTGTCATACATACAGTGCCTAGCACAGAGGGTCATAGCAGGGCAATATTCCTCATTAGCTCTGATAGCAGAAATACATAAAATTAATTCCACTTGACATCAAAACACTAGGGCATGAAAAGGTACCTATTTTTATCCATGTGTTTTATGCATTTTTAAAACACACGAATGCTTTGTGAATAGGTCTGACTGTCCATTCCTGCAGGTGCCTTTCTCTGACACTGAAGGCAACTGGCATAAATTCCTCATTTTACCTGCAGAATTGATCAGATCCCCACCTGTAACCCACACCTCTGCTACAAAAGGCAGCGCAGCAGCACTGTTTAGGTCTCTGCTTCAGAGAAAGCTAAGGGAAAAAAAACCAGACTTTCATCCTGCAGTAAAGGTGAGAATGCTACCAAATGAACCGTTCTTCCCAGCAGTGCCTCAGCTGGTCTTGCCGTATAATTAGAGATATGGTATAAACCATCGTCTGCAGTGTGCACATATCGGAATTGAATGGGGAAAAGCATGTTCACACAGTACGATCTCAGTAACAAAAACAAGGGCTCAGAAATGACAGCGCTGGAAAATTAAGGTGAGCTTTGATTTTTGACGTTCCGTGCCATTAAAGACTGACAGCATTAAAGAGCCGCCCCTCAGCACAAAGCCCCTCCTAAGGCCCGAGCCCGGGCAGGCAGAGGCCCGGCCCTGCCGCTGGGGGGCGCTCTCCCGGACTGCCGGCGCTGCGCGGCGCCGTGCCGTCCCGCCGTGGCGGCGTTCGACTTCCGGCTGGCGTGCCGGCGCCGCTCTGCCCCACTTCCGGTGCTCGGCGGGCTGGCGGCGCCGGGACCATGGCGGCGGTGGACGTGCGAGGTGCGGGGCGGAGGGGCTGGGGCGGGAGCTGGGTCTGCAGGCGGGATGCTTGGGCGCGGGGCGGGCTCGGGCTGCGCTCCTCGGCTCTGTCTCCCCCCGGTTTATCGGTGATTGTGAATACCGTCAGTGTGTATATTTACAGAGCGGGCAGCGTTACCTTCTTAGCAGCTGCTCCGAGGAGCAGTTGATTAGGTGTGAGCTGTTGTTTCGGAATGTGTCTGTCCGACCCTGGGCATGCAGAGCTGTCACTGAACTACAATACAATGCAGCGGAGTGCTGAGTGTGCTTTCGGGAGGGGTATATTAGTGCATGGAAGTAGAAGAGTGATTCCTGTGAGAAGGGAATTTCAGCTCAGTGTTCAGAGACGTCTCATCACTTACGTGGTGCTGGTGGTGCTTTTTCAGGGCACCCCATGGATCTTCAGTGGTAGCGGATTTGTTGTCTGTAGAACCAATTGCTGCCGGTGGTTTCTTTGGTCAGACTGTAACTTTGGCTGTTCGAGTGCTTCACGAATGTAATTGTGCTACAGCACGGTAATAAAATGCCAAGGACGTACATTTAAATGTTCCCACATCTGGAGGGATGTACCTGGTGTGGAATGATTTGCATATAATAGAGCATATGTCATTTTTAAAAGCTCTTTTTGAGTGTATGTAATTGTGAACATTTGCATAGACGGATTTCTGTAAAACCCACTGAGGTATGCAGTAAGTAATTTGCCACAAGCAATTTGGCAAATTACTGTAGGATCTCTTGTTCGTGACAGCTGAGAAACACGTACCCAAAATAGCATCTTTCTTTCCATTTCTGGGGGGGTTTGTTTACTACAGATTTCACCTGTATCTTTGAAACACATTGGTATCAGCTGCTGTGATATCAGAGAGACTTACTGTAATAACAGCAACTTAGAAATGTTACCAGTGCTGCTGTTCTGTTTCACTCAGTAATTTATTCACTGGCTTTATCAGAAGAAAACTCTTTGCTTTAATTAATAGGGCTCTCTAACTTTTTGTCTTGTTTTCAGTCCTGTCGTTTAGGACTTCAAAACTATTTTTTGTCAGAAATAAACAGTTTAAAACATGACCAGGCTCAGATTTAGTGCAAGGTTAATAACTTCTTTTTTTTTTTTCAGCAATAGATTCTAACGTAGTAACATAAATTCAACTTGCCTGACTTCTGTGTTTTGAAAGGAACTATGCCTTTCATGTGCTCTCTACTCAGCTAGTACTCTTGTTCATAAAATAAGCCTTATATAATACTATTAATTAGGCTTATATGAGTATAATTAGGCTGTTATGCAATATCACGATTACTGACTCCCATCTTGAGCCGTTAAAGGTATACCAACAGCTAGGAGTCAAGGAAAGAAAAGCACCATAGTTAAGATGTATTTCTGCTGTGTACCTACGACAGAACTCTATAAAATGTGTTTATAATTAGAATTGGTTTGCACAGGACTGTGTTGCACCTGCTGTAATCATTAGCTGGTGGCAGCTTACTGTTGATGGTGGTTGTAGCCTTGGTACTCAACGTAGGTTTCTCTTCCCAGACAACCTCTTGGGAATTTCCTGGGTTGACAGTGCCTGGATTCCAATACTAAACAATGGCAGTGTGTTGGACTACTTCTCGGAGCGCAGTAACCCGTTCTATGACCGAACTTGTAATAATGAAGTTGTCAAAATGCAGCGGATGACCCTGGACCACTTGAAGTAAGTTGCAGTTCGCTTCCTATTAGTACACTGTGTCCCTCCATCTTTGATGACTGAATGTAAGCATGCTGGAAACCTTCTGCTTCTCTCTCCCGAGCTTTGTAGTCCCACCACTTGCCTGGGAGCCCAGCTTTCTTTCCCTTTTTTAATTTTTACTTTTTTATATTTAGTTGCTTTCTACTTCCTTCAACACTATCTCAAGGAGTGTTGATTCTGAAGCATTCTAGCTACATGCAGAGATTCTTGTAAATCACCTTTTAGATGTTTCTAATTAGAAAAGCTGCTGACTTTCGTCTTCCCAGCTCAACAGAAGCTCGGTGATGGTAATGGCTTTAAATGGTTTTTTTCCTACAGTCAGTAGGGTTTATGTTAGGGGATACTTTTGTGTTCGTAAGTAGTCCGTGATTCTAAATCACGCTGGCTGCATGCCATAATTAGTACATAACTCCTCTTAGGAGCTGGCTTTTTAGTGTGGAAGATGAAATTATGGGATGTTGTAAATAAACTGGTCACAGATGGTTGTGTAATGAGATGGCAGCATGTGCAGGTTAACTTTCTCTGCAGTTTCCCATCTGCTGCACTGAGCACAAGTGAGGTGTTAGAGGACTATTTGAAGACTCTACAGTATAATAAGGAATGTGCAAACTGAGCTGAGTGTTCATTGGTAAAGCCACTTGTGTTTGGATGTGGTTGTAGAGGGGCTTTCAAATGAGATATGCAGATAGTCACATCATACACTGATCCTTTTTCTGTGTTTAAATGGCATCTTTATGCTAATAGATTGTGTTGTTTCCCTTGCTGTTTGACCGCTAGTGTGTCCAGTTTAGATGTGCCAGATTGTTGCAGTGTCATTTGTATATGCAGGTATAGGTTACATGCAGGTACATGTGTGGGTTTTGACAGCTAGATCAGGAAGTGCTATGAAATTCTATGTTTTTATTTAGAAATAGCTTGAGAAATGATTATAGAAAGCTTGAGAACATTATTGCTATAGTGCTAGGCCCTTGATATCTCTTCACATCCCACAGATTCTGCTTTGAGAAAGATAATTATTCAGATTGTTTCTGTTTCAGCCAGATGGTTGGAGTGGAGTACATCCTCCTTCACGCTCAAGAGCCCATTCTCTTCATTATCCGAAAGCAGCAAAGGCAATCTCCAACACAAGGTGAGGCCATTTAGTTCTTGCCGCTGTTGAGAAGGCCGACCGGTTGATCTCTTTTCTGTATTCCTCATTTGCTTGAATACTTCTGACTCCCCTTTTCTGCCTTCATCCTAAATTTAGGTGGAAGGTTATGAGGCTTTGTATTGGATGTGTGGTGGGGGTATTTTGTCACTAGTGACCTCTGGTGAGCTCATAGCCGGGGCTGCCATCTCGTGGTGAAGTGTGATGAGTGCAGTGAGAAAGTACTGCCCTGCGGTGTATTCTGAAAGTGGTGGTAGCATTCATGCAATATCTTATATGTTTGGCTCTCTAGGACTTTTCATTTTAATTATTTAAATGTAAGGCTAATTATATCTTTGCTTGGAGCTGATGAGCTTGGTTTAATTACAGGTAATCATCTGAAGTGGCTAGTATGCAATTGGGAGTGAGCTGTGATTTCCATTGATTAGGGAGAGAGCTCGTTCATGGTTCTTTTTCTGTCATTTTTTAATTCTGTGCTGTTTCCACCTTCAGCTGTGGTTTGAGTAGACTGAGTAGCATCTTGTCAGTAAGGGAAGAAGACCTATCTGAAAAATGACCATGAGGTGATACAGATCTTATTTTCCTTGTTCTTTTCAGACCAGAGTACTGTGAAATCATTGAAATCATTAGATCTTTACAAGTTCTAAGTGAAATACCTTTGGATTTTCTTCCCTTTGCGTGCAACCTGATTCAACCTTTTTAACCTCGAATTTGTTGTGCATGTGTGATTAATTAAAAAAGAAAAAAAAAAAAAAAGCAATCACATTTCAGTAGTTTTATTCTGTATACATACAAAATATTTTAGGTTATTTCAGAATAAGCAGAAAAGGAGAGCATGATAATGCTAGTTACTTTTTAACTTTATGTTTACTAACTCAGACTCTGCACGTGCATTTTGCTGTTGCACAGGACTTTGACTTACCCAGCAATGCTTTTTATTTGCTTGGATCAGATATTGGCTCTTAATATTGTAGTTTTGTACTGAAAAAGAGCACATGTAATTCCACCTTTAATGGATTTTCCAGTTGTTTCTTGGTTAAAGGTTTCATGTCTAGCGTATCGAAATCTTGTGCTTAGACACCTTTTAAGTCAAGAGTAGAATTTGGCTTCCGCATTACTTGTGTTAAGCTGTGAGGCAGCAGTGCTGCTGTTCTGTCTTTTTGTGCTTCTAGGGAAATCTGAGAAGGAACTCCTCGTTCTTTTTACTGGCTGTGATGTGTCCCCAGTTGTCTTGGCCTGTTAATTTAGGCTGGTGTCCAAGCTTCATAAAATGCAAATACAGGAGGCATTGGGCCCTGTCAGTTAAAAGGTTGAGACAAAATGAGTTAAAGCAGATGGAGGAACCAGAGCAAATGAGTGCACAGACCAGAGTCTTGGGAATGTGAAGCTGACAGCATTGTTAGTTTCCAAACTGAAGCCCATTCCGTAGAATGTTATGGAGACAATTGTGATGTTTTTCTGCACTGCAGGCCGAACAAACAGGTATTTTCGATCAGTTATTAGAAGTTGTTCCCAAACCTGATTTAACAAATGGCTTTGGAAGGTGGTTTTTTTTTTTTTTTTTTTTTTTTTTTTTTCAGAATGTTATGAATTTAGGAAAGCGTGCTTTGTACATGCTCACTGCCATTGGGCTTGGGAAATTTGGCTAAGGTTGGAGAGAACAGACTACAGAAAAATGATCTTTTGATTACTGATAGCAGGAACAACTGATGGAACTACTTCCACTTGCAGTTCACTTGATTTCTCCTGCATAGCTCTGAAAATGCCAACTCTGCTAGGATCAGTTATTTGCTTGAAATAGAGAAAGACCTAAGTCTGATGCTTTCCTCTCTGTAAAGCAGACCTTGAGGCTTTTCCCCTTAGAGTACAAATAAAACACCTGTAAGGAAAGACATAAAAAGACACAGCTTGTTGATCAGAAGGATTGCAGTTTCTATTTTTACTACAGAAATTCAGCAGCAAATATGGAGTCTTTAGCCAGAACTTTAAATTGATCATGCCTATCTTTCTTTTTTTTTTTTTTTTTTCTTTTCCTCCCCACAGTTATTCCTTTGGCTGACTACTATATTATTGCTGGAGTGATTTATCAGGCACCCGACTTAGGGTCTGTCATTAACTCCAGAGTTGTAAGTGTTCTGAACATTTTATATATGTGTAAACAGTTTGTATCTGCTTTTATTTTCTGTAGTTCCTCAGGCTTTTCAAACTTTTTTTCACTGTAGTAGTATGCTATGTGTATGATAGCATGCACGGGCTTAATATAAATGCTACCAGTTACTATGGTCTGTGTTCCACATGGAAATGGAAGATCCTGGCAGAGTGCAGCATGGCCCAAGGAGTAGGATGCATACCTCAAGAATTAAGGGATCAGAATAACTGAAGGTTGACAACTGTCAGAACACGAGGTTCAAATAATCAAAAGAGAAATTAAGTGATAAATATATATGAAACAGTAATTAAACATTCAGCTTTGAAATGTTCATACTATGGTAATGTGGTATTTCTTTTAATGAAACTTCTCTTTTTAAATTAATATAGATTTCTCTTTAAATTGAACTCCTGAGTTTTTTGTTTCTACTGATCTTATAAACTGCTTTTATGCAAGCTTTTCCGCTGTCAATGTAGGAAAAGAAAATACCTTGGTTTTATGAGATCCTTTGCAAGAAATTACATTCTTAGTCCAAAACTAGCTGTCCCAGGTCTCTTTCATAGCATAAATGAATATAGAACGCTAATCTTAAAATCATTGCTTACAAAAACTTGTACTTTCTCCTTAAATTCTGAACACTGACTTATGTTACTTTGTTCTAAAGCTCACTGCTGTACATGGAATTCAGTCTGCTTTTGAAGAAGCTATGTCCTATTGTCGCTATCACCCATCAAAAGGCTATTGGTGGCATTTCAAAGACCAGGAAGAACGAGGTATGATTCTTAGTTGCTCCTTGCCTCTTGAGAGAAAGAGAAGATAGTATAGGCAGGGTGGGAGGTAAAAGCTTGAGGCAGCACACAGTGATGGTGTGGAGATGTTCTGTCTGAGGAGTAAGTTGGTGCTCTCTGCCAGTGGAAAGAATCTTGCTGATGGGGATAGACAGTGAGACATGGATAGGAAATAAAATGGTAAGCTATGTGTCAACACAATGGACCCAACTTCAACCTACTGGTGACCAAAGTACACTTTGTTTTGAGGTATACAATTATTCTTAACCTGTCTTCCACAAAAAAAACCCCAACAAGCCAAAGAGAAAATGGAGCTGAGGTTAAGAGGAGAGTTGCATTCCAACTTTGTGTACATCGGAAAGCTGCTGAGAGAACAAAACTTTTCATTAGCTTCCTCTTACATTTTTGTACTTGCAGAGAAAGCTAAGCCAAAAGCGAAGAAGAAAGAAGAACCAAGTTCTATTTTCCAAAGACATCGAGTAGATGCTTTGCTTCTAGACCTAAGACAAAAGTTTCCACCCAAATTTGTTCAGGTATGACAGTTATAAGCCACAGTATTATTGTAACTTAGTCAGAACTTAAGGCAGTCATAAACAGCTGAAACTCACAGTGGGAATCTTCTGTGCTTTCTACAATGATAATACAAGTAATAAGTTTGAAATGGAAAGCTTTGGTTTGAGTGTGGGAATCCCCTCAGTAATTGCAGGAGTTAAGACCTTGGCAAAATGATGAGGGCAAATTGCATTGCACCAGTTCCTTATCTATTTGTAGAGGATCTGTAAATGTCAGCTATCTGACTTTGCTGGTGCTTACAGTTTCCTGTTTTGTGAGCTGAATCAGATCACCACAACTATTGTGTTCTAGTTACCCCATTGTTCTGGGTGCTCATTAATTAGCGTGGAAATTCTCAGCATTCTGTGAGATTGTTGTGATTACCTCTGATAATCTGTAATAGTTCTTTGTACCATTGTGTCTTCTGGTTGAGAGTAATGAAAATAATTTCTACAGCAACTCAGGAAACTGCTCCTCAGATATTGAGAAGGACGGCTGAGCATTTTTTCACTTAGTCCTTTTCAGCTGTCTGAGGAAAGACTGAATGTTAAAAAAATTAAAGCTTGATGTTTAAAAGTTGGATTTTGCTTTAAGTGTATTTAGTGATCTGTTCAACAGCCTTCCCTTCTTCCTTCAACTCATGCGTGTAACAGCACTGCTTGGTGTGCATTCTTAAGTGAATAATAGTAGAAAGGGTCAAGAATTAAGACTTCATTTCCACTGATGTGTTGTTTTTTCCTCCCCCACAGCAAAAGCCTGGAGAAAAGCCCATTCCAGGTAAATCTCTAATATTATCACAAGATCTAAAAAAAATGTGATGTGTAGTAAAGTCTTCCTGTTGCCCTATGAGCTTCTCACTGTTGCCACTGAGGTGGTTAGGGATTCTGGCATTGTTGAATTGTGCAAATACAAGAGTACAGAAGATAGCAAGAAAGAAATAGGAAAAATGCGTATTCTGCTCCCTGTCTGGAAGATGTCTTGCCCTTTCCATCTGTAAAAGCTATGTTATCTGAATGTCCAAATGCAAGAAATAGTCTTTGAAAGCAGCAGACGGGGAAAAGGTAAAAGAGGAAAGGAATAATTTGGTCAGTCCAGCATCCTAGTGATTTTGGCAAGTTGCTCAGGAAAGCACGTGAAGGCCTTTACTTGATTTGAAGCAATTTCAAAACAGGAAAAGCATAAACTAGATCTTTTCATCCACTCCATTTTTTTTTTTTTAAAAAAAACTTGTATAGGCATGAATTTATTCCTTAGTTCTTAAACCTTTGAAACTGAATTTATCCTTTTGAAATCAATATTTTCTAAACACTCTGAAGAATATTTTGGGAATGAAAATAGGAGGTTTAACCCTGTTTTGCTGTTACTTCTTAAGTGGATCAAATAAAGAAGGAGCCAGAACCAGCCCCTGAAGCTGTCAAGACAGAGGAGAAAGAGACTGTAAAGAATGCTCAGCAGAGTGCTGCTGCTAAAGGACCACCTGAAAAACGGATGAGACTGCAGTGAAGGGTGAAGTGATGCATGTCTGGATTAGTCAGTGCCTGGAGAACAGCAGATTCCAACTCCCGTCCTTCATATTTACGCTCTTCAGCCGAGGCTGTGACATTTCAGGAATTCAAGTCCCTGTAACAGCTTTTTCTGTAGAAATCTGTTACGAAAATGTTAATGGCAGGATGTGAGCTGCCTTAAGTAAGGTGTTTTCAGTTTTCATCTTATTTTGAATATTGGCTTCTGGGAATGATTTTTACAGAGATGTATTTTGCAGCCTCCTGAAATCTACAAACCCTTGCATTCCTTGTGTCTTGGTTTGCTATGTAAACAAACAAAAAAACCCCTTTAATACAACAATAACAAACAATTCACCTTGTGTCTAAGTTAATAAAATCCTGATTGCTAGAATGCTTTTCTTCTTTATTAGCAATTAATACCATAGGTGCAAGCAGCAATTTTGTTTTGTTTGGATGTTGAGATATGTTATGGGCTATTTTGAGGAAGGCAGGTTTGCCTAAAGAGTTTAGGCTGTTTGCTGTAAATTGCCATGCCTTTAGTATGCTTGGGATACGCATCAGAAATTTGATAACTAAAGACTCAAATCCACATAATTAGGTGTCAAACTGTTCTCAGTCTGTAGGGGTTCTTGGATGTTTCTTTTACTTAATGGTTTAGCTTTTAATCTTTTATGATTAAAAAGTTAGTGTTGAGGGGGATTTCTTGTTGCATAAAGCAAGCTAGAATGTCCTAATGTTGCACTACTGGAGTGAAGCTGTTTATGTTTCTCCTTTCTTTCCTTGCTGTCTCCCAAGTATATCAGTTATACATCTCTTCCTCTGTGCTTCTAGCACCTTTTTGCTGCATTTTACCACCTTGATTAGTCATGTGCCTTTTAGACCTGAGGAGGTAGAGCAGTTGAACATTGCATAGAGCACTTTATTTAGCCATGCTGTTTACACAACTTTTTTTTTTTTTTTTGCCTTGCAGAAAAAGATAAGAAGCCACCCATTGCAAAGAAATGACCATTGGGTTGTTTTTTTGCTGTTGTCAAAGTAACGAAACAAAGTAGCTTGTTTTCTTTTCTCAACTGTTGTCATCTTTCTTGAGGTAAACTCTAGGATGTGACAAAAAGAGCTGTACGTAGGATATAGAACGTAGATAGGAAGGAAGACAAAGATACACTTAAATCTGAGGAAACGATAGATTTTGAAGTTGTAAGAGAAGCCTTCTTTTCTGATTTAGTAACTAATGAAGAGTTCTGATGGGACAGCTATTGAACAGTGGAAAGAATTTTTGCCCTTTAATCCAAAACTGTAAAAGCAAATACAGATAAACCAAGAGCTGTTTGCTGTTGATACATCAGTGTACTTAAGTGTGTATTACCTTCATTTTATATAATGTGGGTGGCATTTGAACTGCTATTTCTTGAAATGTTGATGGAAACAGGTAATAAGGTAGTGTGAACTATTAACTATAGAGAGAGCAGTTATTCTGGAATGCTTAAAACAAGCTGGAGCTAATTGTTTAACCTTGAATAATTACAAGGAAGCATGAATATCCTTAGAATAAAAGTTTTGCTTCTTTCTCCTATTAAAGAAATTCCTTTGAAAGGAAGGAGCTTGAGAAGTGCCAAAACCATCATCTTGCTCACCTGTATGGTAGAAAGGAGGCATGAGTGGTGAGGAGCCTCAAGATTCCCCACTGAATTTCTGATATTCAGATGAAGTTCTTGAAAAGGGGCTGTTAAGGCAGCTTAACTCTATGCAGTGATTCATATCACTAGAACCTATAAGCTACTTGGAAAAGCTTAGTTAAGAAAGATGACTAGATTGCACTGCAATGAAGATCTAGGGTTTTATTTCAGTTTGGGAGACTAATTAAATATTTGTGTATCAAAGAAAGATTTTAAATTACTAGCATAGGAAGGATACCATGTCTACTGTTGAAAGCATGTAAAAATGGTCAATGTGGATGCTAGTATAAGCACAAAATCTGTCATTAAGTGGGCTACCCCTACAGTACAGTGTGTTGTACAGCACAAATACTGGAACAATTTTGCCTAAGAAAAGAATTTGAAGATTGGCGATAACATGAGTAAGATGAAAAAAATCTCTTATGAAGCCATTGGTAAGACCAAGACTTTCCTGGGAAAGAAAAGAAAAATATTGGCCCTTTATAAAATTGAGTGCTGTGAAGCAAATACGATACCTTGTTCTGTCTTGCATTGTAAGAATACATGGACAAGTTAACGAAGCTGAATGGAGTTACATTTAAAATGAATCACTGCACTTCATGCTCAGAATTTGACCTGATTTAGAGATGAGAGTAAAACTTAGGGGGGCAGACTGTCCTTGTGTTTGCCTCTCTTAACAATGTTTTTGCTTTCTGCAGATGCATCTGGTTTTGGTCAGTGTCAGACTGAGGACATTAAAAAGGATCGTCTTCTGCTCTGATCCAGCTTGAGTTAATGCCAGCATATAAGCTATTGAAAGGATAGAAAATAGTTTCCACGCATGAAAATGTGAAGTAGAATGCAGTAAGCCTTTTTATTTTTTTATTTTTTATTTTTTTTCCCAAAGAAGAATGATCTCTTCTGCAAAAAATATCAAGAGCTGTAGGAAGCACAAATTATATTACAGAGCAATGGGAGATGTTATCGATGAATGTGTTGATTTCTTAGTAGCCATCTTTCAATGCTGAAGGCTTACTGCATGAGGGAGTGAGGAATTGGAATCTTGTCTGATCCTATTATTTGCTGACAAGATATTCTAAAACAACTTTACTGGTTAAATGAGCTTTGATATTTACTTGCTCAAGTGTAATTATATCAGTTATTACTGCTAAAATCAAAGTTGCTGCTAAAATGCTATCTTTTAGTCAGTTATGTTTCTTGGTGTATGAAAATCTGAGACTTTTTTCCCTCTGGTATTTATACGGTATCTCTTAGTCTGATCCTGAGCACTGAAGTCCAAAGTCCTTCAGAGGACATTCCGTATTTGTAAAGCTTATAGATGAAAGGGAAATAAGCAGTTCCAAAATGTTTACTGTCACTTCGTTTTGGAGGTATTTGGTTGTACAAAGGAAATACATTTTTCTTTACTTTTGCTCTTAGATAATAACTGTTCAGACTTTAAAAGGGTTTTTCTTAGTCCAGATCAGAGAGATGAAGGAATTGAAGATGACCTAAAAATCTAATAAAAACATTCTCCTGATAGCCTGAAGATGCACATGTCTGCATACATATCCGTATGAACAGATATGTATGTATGCATATGCACTGCAAAAATCTGGCCAGATTACAGGAAGAGAGGGAGCCTTGCTATCTCCCTTCACCATTTAAAGTTAACAGTATCTGAAATGTGTCACAAACACAGTCTTTTCTGCTCTTTACCAAGTAAGATGTGACCATGCGTTATGCTTACTCATTTCTCTTTGCCACCTGCACCCATACTTTGTATTTCGATAACCTTTCCCTAATTTAAAAAAAAAAAAAAAATTACATGGCATTTGAACAATCAGTGCATGTTTGCCTTGTTTTCTTGGAGAGATATGTAAATTTTGGATCAAGTGTTCTTTTAGTCCTGTATTCATATACAGGACAAACAAATGATCAGTTATTTGATGAATGTCCTTCTGCAGCATAATGTGGATTATGGATGGCTGGGCAGTAACAGGAGATCTTCCCAGTGAAATGAGGTATGACGTAGTACTATTCATCTCAACAATCAGAAATTTCATTTCTTTCTGTTAGGACAGTGGATTTCAACCTGTGGTCCTCAAGACTGCTGTGAGTTTGTGATGCGTTCATAAAGACTCACAGCAGGTAAGTGAGAAAAGCAAATCTCTTGCTAAGATTCAGTTTCATAAGAGCTTGTACCTCCATTGAAAATTTTAGTGGATGACTGCATGAAAAAAAAATTTTGAAAGCACTGCTGCATACAAAGAAGGCCAGTTGCAGCTGCCAAACAAATGTTTCTGCTGCTGAAGTAGCTATGGATTGATGCAAGCTTTCTTCTCTGCTCTTTTAGTCAGTCTTTTTTTTTTTTTCTTCCAACCTGTTCATTGTCATACAATGGGAATCCACCTCCCTCTCATTTATTCTTAATCAGAGTACAAAGTGCAGTGTTAGTCGGAACAAAGTGTCATCTCTCTTTATGAAATCTTGCTGCCAGAGGGCTTGCTTGAGATGTTCAACACAATGAGAAACGGTTTACATGTTCCACCCCCACCCAAATAACCTGCAGTGAGTTTAATACCTGACTGTATAGTGATACATATACTAAACGATAAGAAAATAGTTTGCCTGCTTATCTGCAGCAGTTTGAAATGTTAAGATTTGTTTTTCCGGTGGTCTAACTGTATGATCTGTTCACTCAACGCAGACGTGGATGACTAGGAGCATGAAACTTAGCTGGGGCCCCTCCTCACACAGAGTTCTTCTGTCTATGCAGGATAAATGAGGATTGTAGAAAGCTGTGAGTTTGCTTGTTTTGGAGTAATTCTGTTTAGTCTTCCGCAAGAGCCTACGCCTGTACTCATAGAGCAGGGGATGGCTGTCTTGAGGTGCCTTTGTGGCCGTCCAAGATATACCTCTAGGCAGTGGGGTGTCATTTCCTGATGGAGCAGGCAAAGGAGGCTGCCATGTTGCTGATCTTCCCTGGTACCTCCCAAGGGAGGGGCAGGCACTTAAGGTGCAGTTCTAGACCTGAAGGTGGCTCCTCCATTCCGAGCTCCGGCCCCTCACAAACAGAGCGTGGGGCAACGGCTGTGCAGTTACCATGGAGACGCTGCTGGTGCTGGTGGTGCTGCTGGGCCTGGTGGGGTGCTCCACTACCCCTGATGATGAGCCTGAGCCGCTTCGTGTCACCGGTGTGTGGGTGACAGTGCCACGACAGCTGAGCCCCCGGGCTGATACCAACCCCCTGACTGTCTCCTACTGGCTGGAGGTGCAGGGGAAGCCACAGGTTCTGCGCCTGCGGCCCAGGAAAGGCCTGGCCTCCCAGCCTTTCACTTTGGTCACCTATGGTGAGGATGGGGCACGTCGGGAGGAGCATGTCTACGTTCAGGACAATTGCTTCTATCAAGGTGAGGTGCAGGGAAGTCCCGGCTCCCTGGTGGCCCTCGGCACCTGCGGCAGGGGCCTCCGTGGAGTGCTTTGGATGGAAGGCAGTACCTATGAGATCGAGCCCATCCCTGATGATCCAGCCTTTCAGCACATGCTCTACCGCATGGAGGCAGACAGCGACCCTACGGGCCCCACGTGCGGGCTGACCCCCACAGAGCTGCAGTACCAAAAGACTGTGCTGCCCTGGCTTCAGGCTCCACGAACAGAGGAGAAGTACATGCTGAAGGACTGGTGGACACATACCAGGTATGTGAAGTTAGTAGTAGTTGTGGACAACGTGCGGTTTGTGAGGTCAGACAGGAATGAATCCAAAGTCTTGAGGCAAGTCCTCGAAGTTGTCAATATTGGAGATTCTCTGTATGACCAGCTTTCTGTTCAACTGTTCCTTGTGGGACTGGAGATTTGGACCAAAGGCAATCTTATAAACATTACTAACTCTGTAAACAAGGCACTTTCAGACTTTAACAAATGGCGAAAAACAGACCTATATCCACGGATGCGCCATGATGTTGCTCACTTATTTGCATTTCAGGGCTTTGGAAAAAGCCTGGGATTGGCATATCTGGGGTCCATATGTGACAGGCAGTGGTCATCAGCAGTCGATTCCTTCACCAACAGGAGGCTGTCCTCATTTATTGTCACATTTGTCCATGAGCTGGGCCATAATCTTGGGATGCGTCATGATGAACGGCACTGTAAATGCAGGCGGAAGAGGTGCATTATGTACGAAAGTGAATCTGACACCGACGCATTCAGTGACTGCAGTTACAAAGACTACTTTGACCTGCTTGGGAGTGGTGGTAGCTGCCTGCGTCAGTCACCAGCACTTGGCAGCTACTACACTCTGAAGCGTGAATACTGTGGGAATAAGATAGTAGAAAGCGGAGAGCAGTGCGACTGTGGTTCAAAATCAGACTGCAGAAACGATCCTTGTTGTCACCCTAACTGCACGTTGACTGAAGGTTCAGTTTGTGCTTCTGGAAAATGTTGCAAGGGCTGTCAGATCCTTCCAGCAGGAACACTCTGCAGAGCACGTACCGGTAACTGCGACCTGCCGGAGTACTGCAATGGGACCTCGCCTTGGTGCAACCCAGACCTGTATGTACAAGATGGAGCCCCTTGCGAAGATGGTGCCTATTGCTACAAAGGAAAATGTTCTTCCCACAGTAAACAATGCAAGCATCTTTTTGGCAAACAAGCCAGGCCCGCTCCTTTAGATTGCTTCAAAGAAGTGAATAGTCGAGGTGACCGTTTTGGAAATTGTGGTATTCGGAACGGTATTCATTTTACTAAGTGCAGCGTTGAGGATGCCTTATGTGGTAGGCTACAGTGTGAAAACATACCCAAGTTGCCCTCTTTGCAGAACCACATAACAGTCATCCAAACCCCTGCCAGAGGTAAAAAGTGTTGGGGTCTTGACTATCACATAGGGATGCCTGTAGCTGACTTGGGGGCTGTAGAAGATGGCACGACGTGTGGCAGCAACAAGATTTGTATTGACAGGACGTGTACCGATATTTCAGTGCTGAATTATGATTGTAACATAACAAAGTGCCATAACAGAGGAGTGTGTAACAATCTTAGGAACTGTCACTGCGAGTATGGTTGGGCTCCTCCATATTGTGAGCGGGAAGGATTTGGAGGAAGCATCGACAGCGGGCCCCCTCCATCCAAGCAGATTTTTCGGAGGTCAAGAATAGGAGTAGTTGGCCTTGTTTTTCCTGTTGTTCTCGGAGTTATTCTTGTCATATATTATAAAAAGGAAATAGGGGAATGGTTTATGAGGATAAGGCCTGATTTCACAGAAGGAGTTAGTGGTTGGTTCAAATACTGCAAATGCCAGTAGTTGCTATTTAACACCTACTGCTGAGACAAAATCTACTACCGTGCACTTCGCAAAGACCAACAAAGTTCTGGCTTTGGATGCTCCTAAGAAAATCTCCTGAGGAAGTCAGCAGAGCCCGCTGATACCTTATTGAAATAATTCAACACCTTCTGAGTTGTTATAATCCAATACAGCATTGTGAAACAGATTAAATGTTATCTCTGTTTATTTGAAGTTAATAAATGCAGGCAATAAGGTATGCTGCTCTCGGTTTGTACCTTGGGTTCTTAAAAATGAAGCGCTCAGTGAGCGGTGAGTACGCAGTGTCTGTACTGCTGGGTCCTCCAGAGAAGCGCTGTGGATTTTACTGCTGCAAGAACAAGCAATCTATGAGGCTGCACAAGTTCAGTGCACTTCTAAAATAGTTAGGGCTGTTCTGCAGCTCTCCCACCCTCACAACTCCTGTGCTCTTTGACAGATGCTTTATATCTGCCTACCTCGGTGCCTTTCTCTTGTTTTACTCTGTGATTGCTTTGGGGACTGTTAGCAAATATGCTGCCAAAGCTCTACAACATGTCGCACAGAAGCATTTCTTTTAATAAGATGTAAAACGTGTCATTTATGAGAAAGCATGAGGGATCTGGGAACACCGTTCAGTGCTTTATTATGTGCATTAAAGCAATGTCTAGAACTCTCCTCTAGCGCAGCAGAAAGAAGAAGCTGTATTTTAACAGTGAGAATGTTATTCTGAAGGAGGGGCATTTCTGTAGGAAAGGCTGTAAAACAATCCACTTGTCTGCTAGCTGAACAATCGTTGCTGTTGCTGATTGTCAGCAAACCGTTAACTGCCTTTTTTTAACGCTTTAACCGGACGCGGGCAGAGCTAACCGCCACCGCCAGCCCGCCCGCCCCGGGGCCGTCCAGCCGCGGCAGCTCGCGCGCCCTCAGCGAGCCCCACGGCGGGCGCGAGGCACTGCCGGCAGCGGGCCGCTCGCGGGCTGCGGCGGCCGCCGGGCCCGGCCCGTCCCTTCCCTTCCCGGGCGGACTACAACTCCCAGCGCTCCGCGGCGCGGCCCTGCGCCGGCGGCCGAGGAAACGAAAGCGGTTGCCTCGCCAGCCGACTTCACCTTCAGGCTGCAGCATGAACGGCAGCGTGGCGGGCGGCGGCGTTTCCGAGGAGGTGATCCGGCTCACCCGGGGACCCTCAGGTGAGGCCGGGGCGGCCGCGCTCCGCGTGGGGCCGCGCCGAGGCGGGGGGGGAGGGGAGGGAGAGCGGGCCGGCACCTCGGCCGCCCCTTCCGTGGATGGGGAGGGGGGGAAGGGGGACACGGCCCGGCGTCGGAGGTGCCGCCGAGGGGCGGGGGGGGGGAGCCTCGAGCCCTGCGGGAGCGGCGTCCGGCCGGGCAGCGCGGCGCCGGGGCTGTGCCGGCGGCGCCGTGCCGAGCACGTTGCTCCGGAAGGGGACTGCGAGCTGTGTGAGCGGGAGGCGACGCCGTCGGACTTGGTCTTCCGCGATAACAGAGCGGAGAAACGCCGTCGGCTTCTTGGCTGGAAGCGAGGCGGCTTTCAGGAGGTCTGCGCGGCTGCTCGTGCTGTCCAGTGAAGCGACAGGTGTGCTGCCCTGCAGCGCTGCTGGGCGCCCAGAACCAGGGGCGTTCCTACGGCTTGTGGGCTGCGGTACCTCGTAAAGGCAGCTCGCGGAGGCCGAAACGAAGCTCTGAGTTCGGCTGGGGTGGTGCTGAGCTTTCTGTGAGGGAAGGGGGATGGGGAAGGCTGGGAGGTGTTGTTTGGCTTTGCTTTTCCCTGTGTCGGTCCCGTGGCGGTGGCCAGGCCTTTAGACGCTTGCTGGCTCAGTTACAGCACTAAAGCAGCATTGTCAGTGGTGCAGAAAGTTAGGGGCAAACGCCCCGAACTGAAGCGAAATCCTGGATCTGAAGCGTCGCAAACTCTGGGGAACTTCTGAAGGCAGAGCTTTGATGTATGAGGCCTTTAATTAAAACAGGGGTGAATGAAACCAGCCCGGCTGCAGCACATGGCCATGGGCCAGCTTTGCCTTGTTGTGCCTCACCGTGAGCTGCAGCACTGACATCTTCACAGCTAGAGCCATTCTGACTGACCCTGGGGAGGTAGATGGCCTCCCCTGCTCATCCCGTGGTCATAACATAACAGATATTGTGGTTTCCCCCATCCTCCTGCCTCAGAGAACTTCTGGCAGACTGGTCTGAGCAATGGGGTTGGATACCTGCAGGCAGTTAGGATCATGGCAGACTCTTTGCAAGAGGAACTCCACTTCTGTGCTGCTTCTGGTCTCCTGGTAGTGATCTGCAGGATCAGACTTGGCCCCACCACGAGCAGGCACCCTGTGCCTTGTGGCTGTAGGAGGAGTGACTGCTCTGAGACCTGTGCAGCTGTGCTGGTGTGGTTGTGAGCCTCAACCAACAAAAACGAAGTTCTGTCTTGAAGTTCCTTCCATGCGTTTGGAAACATTTCACTTAAAATCTTGAGGAGCAGGAAAAGGGTGTTGAAGGACAGAGTTGAGAGGTCTTCACCATGGCTACTGGAATGTAGATCTGATTCCTGTGAGCAGCACCTGTGCAGTCAGTAGGATGAGCCGTCTGTTTTTTATGCAGCCCCTTGTGATCTTGTATCACTTGTCATTCATTTCTGTTGAAGCAACAAACCTGTGAAGCAGAGCGTAATCCTACAATCTCTCTAATCTGAGTTTTGAGCGTCTAGTTTTCTAGAATATAACTGATGATAAACATCTCTGGCAGAAGTTTCTGAGGGGCTGAACATATTTATAGAAGCAAAACTGTTTGTATAAGTCTCTTTCATATTTCCTTCTGATTTATTAAGCTGAAGGGAGGAGGAAAAGTCTGGTTTAATGAAAAACTAAATAACTTTGCAGATTCAATTTGTAGTTCGTATTCTTCAGTATCTAAAGATCCTATAAATCATGGGTTGTTTTTGAATATTGTTAGAGGGAATTTTTATGTTTTTAGGGGGTAAAGGAGGCATGGAAAGTTCAGAAGGTACACCCACGTCTTCTGTTAAAGCTTGATCATTGCATTTCTTGCCTCTTGTAGGTGAGGAGCTTAATGCCGCATGCTCTCTTCTTCCCCTTCCTCTCTTTCTCCTGGTTATACTCAGTCTCTTAATACATAAGCTGGAAGGAGGAGAACAGCAAAAAAGCTGAAGGGAAGGCAAAGAAGGTATTTTTAGCCAGGCTGGAAGTTTAAGTGCAGGGGAGAAAAAGCCCTGCAGTGAGTCCTGCGGGTCTTTAACTCAGTGACACGCATTGCTGCCTCACAGAACTCCTTTCTTTGTCTTCTCCCTGCTGATGCAAACAATGGCTTTAGGTTGTTTTGGTAACCATGGGTGAAAACTTGTAAAATATATTTTTGCTCATATTGTGTTGTTTTTTAAATATATATACACAGACATATCAAAACAGAGAGAGAATCATTATTCTCTGAAAGCTAGATTCCTTCTTTCTGTTTTTTTAGTAAACATTGATTAAAACTCATATTTTCTATAGTATTGATTTCCCTGAAGCTTCATGGCAAATCATTGTGGATGTTTTTACTTTTTTTTTTTTTAATTCCCATTGAAGAGTGTGCAGTTGTGCTCAAGTGCTCCTTGTAATAAATATTACTCCAGCTGAAAAGTCAGTGTTTCGTCACTCTATTGTTCCTCCCATCTTCTTCCTCATTTGTCTGAAGCTGCCAGGAATAGGAGGGAGCAAAACAAAACAGCACAGGTGTCAAGGTCACTGTTAATATTTCTCTGCTTCCTAGCTGTGGATGCACGCTTACGCCGTGACTCATGTCATGCAACCTTTGGTCCCTCGTGACTAATTAAAAATACTGTTTCCCAGCAGGCATGATGTGTTTTTTCCCTTTCACTTTCTACTCTGCTTCCCAGTATTTCAAGTCCCAACTTTGGGAGAACAAGAGAGAGAAAGGAAAAACAAACCAGCCTGGCTGAATGTGGAAAGAATTTGCCTTCAGCTGTCCTTGACAGTAGGGTTTGGATGACTGCGTTATATCAGAGAAATAAAGTGGTTTTTTGTTTGTTTATTTGTTTTGTTTTTTCCTCAATTCACTTTGATATACTGTATTTCTTTTTTTTTCCCCACAAGTCTCCTTTTAGGAATCTTACCCATCCCTTAACGTATTTTACTCTTGAAAGGGAAGCCCAGCTGCATGTGCAGTACAGAATGTGGTTTTCCAGATGCTGAATTCAGTTTGTTCTTCTGGATTTTGAGGAAACCAGAAGACGTAGTCTTTAATTGTGCTTGAATCCAGCTGTTGGGTCCAGCCAGTTTTCTGTATACAAGGCTTGTTTTAAAGAACCACACAAAACAAAAGTGTGGACATCAGTTCTACATAATGTATGTGTATTTCTTTTTGTTTTACTTTAATTCCTGGAACTTTTGTTTCCTGTCATGTTTTGAACTCCTGAAACAGAACAAAATGAATACATAAAATCTGAACAAGCTGTGTCTGACCTGCTGTGACTCTTGGAGGGAAAGGCTGCCAGTCCCAGCCCTGTAGGTGCAGATGGGAGCTGTTGAGCTGTCCTCAGGCTGGCAGCATGGCTCCTCGTGCCCATTTCCTCATCTGTAGACAGGGACTGGTGCTCCTTGCCTTCCCTGACTCTGACTCTCAACTCCTGAAACTTGTGAGGCGTGATTCCTTTTTGCTCCAAGGTTTTGCTGCAGCCTCCTGTGAAATGCAGAATGCTTCTGTTTCCTTTCATTCTGCGCTGAAGAGGTGAATTCCTGCTGAGGGCCGAGCTGACATCCTAGAAGTGAAGATGTGCTCTGCAGTATTTCTCAGCTGACGCTTTGCGGAATGAAGCACTCAGAGTCTCTCCTCTGCTTTGAAGAACTAATTGTCTTCTTTAGACAAAGATGGTTGGGAAGGACGGTACTGATCTGTGTGCTGTGAATTTCAGTGTGGTGGAGCTAACAGGCAGTGTGGGTGGGCACACTTCCCAACAGCAGCAAGAATGCCTGGAGCTTAGAGTGTTTTCTTACCAGCTTTCTCTCTGGCTTACCTTAGGGCTGGGCTTCAACATTGTTGGTGGTACAGATCAGCAGGTCATTTCTAATGACAGCAGCATCTATGTCAGCCGGATCAAAAAGGATGGGCCAGCTCACCTCGATGGCCGATTACAAGAAGGAGATAAAATTCTGGCGGTAAGCCCTTTCTTCTGTCCTGCGTGATCTTGAGGTACTGTGTTCAGTGATGGGATAGGACATGCAGGTTTGCCACCAGAGGAGGAAGGATGTGATGAATGCAGTTGATGCAGAGCTGTGGAGAAATCATTGTGGGGATGTGGGAGAGCCTGAGCACCAGGGAGATGAGTGCCTCTATGCGTGGGTCCATCTCTTCAGCCCTCCCGATTTGTTCTCAGAGATGCTTCTTGGTGCTGCATTTCTATTTCCTCTGTAACTTGCCTCCCTGACATTTTAGACTTCGTCATGCCTTCTGATGCTCACAGAGGATCATTGTTTACACACATATAAATAAAAGAATTGGTCTTCCACCTCTACATTTTTTTTCACTAGTATTCTGTGACTACCAATCCTTCTGCTCAGGAGGATTTTTAGGTCATAACGCTTCTAGTCCGTAGAACTCCACTGCAACTCATCAGGAGTAATACAGACTGTTCCTCCTTTCAGATGAATGCTTTAAAGTATCTGACTTTGAGTCCCCCCAGTTCTTGGAACTATTCTCAGTCATACAATACGCTTTCAAAAGCGATGAGTGAAGCTTCTCCTAGTGTGATATATGATCTTTGAGTGCTCTTTAGTTTTATTTTATACTTAATTATGTTCCATATGTGAACTTTTTAGTCTCTGTAAATGAATTGAATGCCTTGTACTAGTTAGAGCCTGTTACTGATCCAGAAACTGACATTAAATTAAACCACAGGATACCATCTGTTATTTTCTTGACAGTTTAATATTTTTGTACGTGTGTTTGGGGAGTCTGGGTGTCAAGAGGGAGAAGGAATTGGGTGTGATCTCAAGGGATGCAATTAGAGGTAATGGTGATGAAACAGCAAGGAAAAAATGGGTTGAGTATCATTATTTAGTGAATGAAATAAAACAGGCTATAAAACCTTCTGCTGTGAGAAATTATTTAGAGAATTCCTAGCATTTCAAAGGAGATGCCAACATGTGTGTCTTTTATTTTTTAACATCATTATGCTTTTAAATTTATGTTTTCATCAGTCTTCCAAAGAAAACATTTCAAAAACATACCAGTAGAGGATCCAATGTGGGAAGGATGCTCTCTTAACAGTAATAATAATTTTGCTGTCACTGCTCTTTTATTTTCATTAGCTATCACAGTTACACCTTTGATTTATTTTCAGTAAAGCTACAACATAAGAAGCTGCTATTGACACAGCTGTTGTCTTTTGGCCTGTTTTTTTTACTAGGCAGTATTTTTTTCAACACCTCAATTTTTTGTCTTGAAGTTTCTCATGTTATCTCCCAACCTTAAAATGCATTTGTAATATGAATGGATGAATATTGGTGTTGGTATCTGTTGTGTTTCATGCCCTCAGTGGCAGAATTATGTGGAAGAGGAAGATTTTTATCTCCTATCTCCTATCCGTACCCTTTAGCAGTTGGTTCTCCTTTTCTTTTCTTTTTTTTTTCTTTTTTTTTTTTTTTTTTTGCTAGATCAATGGCAGAGACTTGAAGAATTTGCGACACATGGATGCTGTGGAACTGTTCAAAAATGCAGGCTATGATGTGTCTCTGAAAATTCAGCACAGGGTATGTTTAACCTGCTTCCTAGGCTTGTTTCTGGCTCAATTTAGACTGGTTTCTCTGCTTGTTACTTCTCCCTTTTATGAAGCAGAAAAATGCAGTGTCCAGGTGCCCAGTGTAAGTTATGCATATAAAGAATTTGTCTGACCAGTGGCCTCCCTTAGTCAATGAGTGCTGTGTCCATGCCATGGATTACTTGTTTATCAGTGTATTAGTGAAGTGCTGAGGTGTGAGGAGTCCCTGGGTCTTTCTTTTTGCTGCACTATGCTGTGTTTTCTTGCAGATCTCCTTTCTCAGAGGCCAAGGTTTGCCTGTGAAGGCAGAATCTCAGGTTCTCCAGTTTGCTTTCAGAAGCCAAAATCTAACTGGAGACAAAACTTCCCTGTTTTAGAGTTCATGTTAGTGGTGAGGTGTGTGTGTACCCAGCACAAAGGAACGTTTGCTGCAGTACTGTAAATGTATTGGCACTGTTTTGGACATAAAAAGGGAGGAATCCTTAATCTGCTGCTGCCACTTGAATATCCCTGGCAAGCATTGAAGTTGATGAAGAAGATACTGGCCAGCTTGAAGCATGCTGATGGGAGGTGGTGGGATGAGACCCCTTTCCTACTCCCTTAATGAAGGAGTAAATATTCTGGAACTTTGTATCTGGCAGATGGGAAAAGCAGAAGAAACTACTGAAGGAAGAGGTGCCTGCTAATGTCTGGGTACTGTAGTAAAGCTCAGTCCACCTGAAGCTGTTCTAACCCTCCCGTGTGAGCTCAGGCAGCTGGGGAAGCCGTCTTGCATGTCCTTACAGAGCCAGCTGGTCCTGACACAGAAGCGCAGGCTGCAGTGTGCTCTCTGACACAAATGCTTTGTTCTTCCTTGTAGTTGAAGCCAGAAAATGGCCCAGCGGGTCATCGAGGTGGTGGAGACTCAGGTGGGCTTCCCCTAGCAGCCATTCTTGTTCCAGGCCTGGCACTCGCTGCAGCAGCAGTCTGGATCTTGTTGAGGTATCGACACCGGATGTGAAGAGTACACGCTTTGGAGATCACTGCGTATTTTACAGCTATGATGTAATTTAAAGATAGAGATTAACGATCTTATCTCAGACTGATGTCAAAGAGGATCATTGTCTACCGTAAAGTTGCTGCTGGTGTTCTTTATATATTGATTTATTGCAGAGTAAGCAGAAAGGAGCAGGGGAAAGGAGATGACTGTGTTCATGTATTTAGTGGGATGGCTGTTGTGTTGTCTTTAACTCATCTGAGAAGTTTTTAGCCATCTCCTTCCATTTGCACCATGAACTTTCAAACACACATCTATTCCATGTTTTAGGATGTGATTCTTTATAAAGAGGTTGGGAGGGTGGGTGGGACGGGTTTAAATCAAATACTCTTACTAGAGGCTTTGCTTCGTTCCCACTGAATTTCTCTTGGAACTAATGATCCATACCTGAACCATGAATAAAGAGAAATAATGCAGAGGCTATCTTATTTTTTTCTGTTGGCTTTTGTTCTTGTTGTTGTACTAAATAAATGCCTTAAGAAATATGTATGAAGTCTGATCTACAGTTTTACAGGTAAAATCCTCGGTATAACTGCTGATTTAACACTAATGTACAGAACTGGTGAGGTATTCTACCAGTTCTGGAAATACAGAAGACGGTCCACTGCTAGAGAAAGACTTTTGTTGTCAGAATACTGTCCATTTTTGAATCCAAGTTGTAAGAGGATGCTTTCCACAAATTGCTAGTGTAGCAGAGAGAGATGTGCGGACAATTGAAACACAAGAATAAGTAATGGCAAGAGATATGATCATGCTGAAGCTGCAGAAGTCTTTCAAGTAGTAATGAAGCAGTAGCACCTCCATCCTTCAAGCTGATTGAAATCTGCATCTTTTGGGTGAAAAGTTTCTGTTGTGAGTTTGTTGGTTTGTTTTTTTTTTTCTGTAAGGGGAATACTGCTTTTCTGTAGCAGCTAACTTGCTTTCTGCAGTCAGAAAATCTTACAGTGATTGAAAGAGGGAAAGCTGAGAGCAGTCTGGGATCGTCCTGGCTATGACTTGCTGTGAAGACTGATGTGATCCTCAGGCTCAGGAGATAGGGTGGTGAGTGTGAGACAGGGTAAGGTTTAGCAAATACAGCTGAGGGGCAGGTTCTTTCTCTGGAAAATATGTTACTGAGTTTACCTGCAGAGACTCATCTTCTCACTGTGATTGGAATAGTTTTAAATGCCCCAGCTGACCTGGACTCTGTAGAGTAAGACCTGTTTCTCTTGTCTCCAAGAAAGAATGTTTTTTTCTTGTTGTTATTTTTGTAAAAGAAAAGCACACTGCATGATCTGGTCTGTATGATAATCAAAGAAAAATCATATATGCAATATATATATTCAAACAAAGAAAAACTGGTGTCTCAGTGCTTTACTTTTCTCTCTTCTTCGTTATTTTAGCAGGACATTGACGATGCATTTGGAATTGTTGTGTGTTTGCACAAAGCTGTAGTCTTGCCATCCACAAGAAGTAAAAGCGGTGTGTTGTTATGCATGATGTTCCTCAATCACCACAGAGGTTCAGATCAGTCGGGCCGTGTGAAATCTTAGCCTGGCATGTAAACTGCTCTCGTGTAAAGAGAGGAGAAAGCAGGAGGAATTTTCCCTGTGTTCTTGGTGAACCTTATGAACAGACTTGATACATGGTAGTTTGATGGGCCGATGCATGCAGTTGGCCTGCGCACCAGCTATGTTGGACTGTGTGAGGGATGGATTTTTGCAGATGCAGCAAGAAGCATTGTGCCTGTGTGACCTGCTCTGAATGTTTGGCTGTGGTGTCCGTGTAGAGCCTGCATGTATTAAAGAGGGCAACTGCATCTTGATGCTGTTTATTCCAACTGTGAAAATAAAGGTGCAGAGAGCAAGAGAAAGTCTTGGAGACAAACTTTCTCTTAGCCCTGGAGTGAGTCTCATCTCTCTGTAAGACAGGAGTGTGGAGCAAGCTGAGGAAAATGAGGAGTTAAGGAGGAGGTTATTTGCTCTTTTACCATTGAAGTCAGCAGATAAAACACAGCCTTTTTTATTTTTATTGTTTTGTGCTCTTCAGGCATGATTGCCATCTGTTCTGCAGGCAGTTTATTAAATTATGTGGGGGGGCTTGGGGGCTTATCTCTTGTGCCCAAATAATTCACGTGGCTTACTGAGCAGCTGAAAGCCTTTTGGTGCATGCTATTCCTTTGAATTCCTTTTCCACAATTATTTGAATTATTTTAATACCGTGGCATTAACTTGGTGGCTTTTCCAGAAGTAGCCTTTTCCAGAATAGTGGCTTTTATTTAACCAATCTAACCCTCAGGACTAACTTTCTCTGCCTTCTTCAAAAATGTATGTGGGTACCACCAAACGATCCGCATTCCAATCCCTAACCACATCATGTCCCATTTATTGAAAAGAACACCTTAATCTCAAAACAGCCCTGTGAGCTGTGGCACGTATTTCTGTACCTCCGCATCTAGGCTGTACCACCTAAACTTTCTGTGCTTTCCACAGTTTCTTTCTCCTCTCAGTTCCTGTAGTCTTGAGTTTTGTCTCTATTCTGAACACTGTGTATAAAATTTTCTGTCATGACTGAAGAAATGAATTAAATGAAAAGAAAAAAGCTAATGATGAAAAGAAAAAAGCTAAAAATGCAAAAAATGAGAGAGAATGCTAAGGAGAACACTTAGAACAGCTGAAACTCTTCAATCCTTGTTTCTTTCTCATTTTCTTCAATTCCCTCCCTTACTGTGAACTTATTGACCTGCTGAGACGTGAGTTTTCATATACATAGCGTAAAGCTAATCCACTTAATTTAATTGGCTTCCTGTATATTCCAGGCATTTATGTCTCACCAGGTTTCCTGAACTATATACACTAGTGACGTATATTTGACTTAGGCATAACAGTGAGAAAGAGAAGCCAGGCTTGATTTGAAGATAGGAAGATGCGCTGCTTCTGGCACTTCTTAACTAAACAAACCGAAAGGGAGCATATGAGAGGAAAAGATATCTTACTTCAGTTTGCCTTCAGATTCCAGCAACTGGCTTGTTAGGTGTTATGAAAGAGCCCTCTAATAACTGATGTTTTTTTCCCTGTGAGAGGGCTTGTGTTTTGTAATTGTTTTACTTTTCACATATCACTTCTAAGAAATTAAGCCGATGGAATCCATTAGGATTTTCAGCCAACTTATAAGAACTGGTTTGTATGAAATAACTTTTACAAATCTCTTAGAAATGATAGACTCTTTTCCCCGTATTCTTTTGTTTTCTGAAGTGCAGTGCAGAACCTGTAGATCACAGTACAAATGCCATTGCCACATAGAGAAATTCACTTCTTTTCATTTTATATACCAGAAAAGCAGTGCTGTTTGATCATTGTGTGACACTAGAAATTTGTGTTAATTGCCATTTGAGTTTTGACTTCTAAATCCACCACTGTGCCCAGATGTGACCTACATGGTGTGAGTAAGAGTATCAGTATTTGTGTTTTGTTGAATTCATGCATATCTTATATGAATTGGTTGTGCTTAGTAACAGATATAGATTACAAGATATTTGTCTGTCTTGTCTGTGGTATAATTTGCTCAGCCCAATATCTGTAGTGATACTGATTTTTGTCTCCTGCCAGACCACTGGTGAAAATACTGAATGGAATTTGATACAGAGGCAGTGTCCCAACATGGTTATGATTTTATTTTTTTTTTAAATAACTGTTGGCATCTTCTAATTATTGGATTCTTTGTATATTTAACAGACACGTTTTGATGGTTGAGCACTGGCACAAGATACCCGGAGGCTGTGGAGTGTCTTTCTTGGAAGTATTCAAAAGCTGCCTGGACATGGCCTGGGCACCCCACTCTGGGTGCCCCTGCTGGAGCAGCGGTTGGGTCAGATGGACCCTGATATTCCTGCCAGCCCCAGTCACTCTTTGGCACCATATAGCATCCTTTTTCAATAAACCATGTATCAGCATGCTGCACAGTGCTAAGTAGATTCCATCCGAGTGGTTGTTAAACGTCATCAGCTTTCTTCCTGGAAGAAGAAGATACAAGGATAGTAGTATATTACCATTGTAATTTAATTAGGTGAGTTTATTAGTCTCACTCTCCTCCTCTTTCCCAACTTGTTGACATCGCTTTATGGGACTGTGTCCCACAGCTGTGGTCCCAAGAGAACATTTCTATGGAGAAGTCTGAAGGAGAGTCTTAGCTTTCCTTGTGACTAGCTTTAGGTAGACTGATGCTTCATCTGTGCTGCCTTCTCAAAATGCTTCCTTTTAAGAGCTCTGGCTGTTACCTTGCATGCAGCTGAGGGATACTCCATGCCATTCAAGCTTTCTCGAAAAAGGATCTGTGGGAGTGTGCACTGACTCAAATGAAGAGCAGTGCTGTGCGGACTTGAACCATGGCTTTCCTTGTCATTCTGGAGAGCTTTTGTTTTTGCTGCTGCACCTGTAACTGATTCTGGCAAATTTCACTATAGGCAGAGCTGTGTGTCTCTCATTTGACTGCTAAACCCAGCTTTCCAGGAATAGTGCTCTTATTAAGGGAGGCTAACTGTGCTAAGTATGCAGGATAATTACTCAAATTGCCTTGTGTTGATTGGCAGTTATTTGCCAAGCTTTTGTGCTTGTGTGCAACGTAAAACCTCTGTCAGTAGGCACTGTTTCTGCTTTCTCACTCACTGGGCATGTCTTCCAGCCAAGTATTGCTTTGGTAAGGTTCTCTTCCCTCTCATCCCTCTTCACTAACTCTCAGCAGCCTAACATTTGGGCCTGGCTTGCATTTTTTGCAATGACACAAAAGCAATTATTCTTAGAAAACTGCTGCTTTTGCCTTGTATCAGCAAATACTGATATTTGTTAATTCAGCGATGTCCCTTTAGGTGGTTAGAAGTTATGTCAGATTTTGACTTATGCACTGAACCAACTGTTGGACTTGCTGTTACTTAGTCCTTTTCTTTCCTTTTTGGAAACAGACATTGGCAGCTGTGTGACAGCCCTCTTTCTGACTGGTGCTCCTGGTGTAGGACATATGACTGGAACACCAAGTGTGAGCCTTTTCTCATCTGATGTGGCTGAGGCTGTTCAGTTTGACAGCCTCAAGCTCTGATCAGCTCCAAACTTAGCCCAGAGATGTCCTAGAATCAATGCTCTGAGTATCAGTATGTTAAGCAGGATGCTACACTCTTTATAGCAGTCTTGTCTGGCCTCCAGCCTGGGGCATGTCTTTGAAGACTCCCTGGTGCAGTCATGATAACTCAGAGCTCCACATCTGTCCATTGTGATGTGTCTGTGCCTCACCTTCCCAGTTTCCTGATCATGGGTGGTGGTGAGAGAAAAGAGGCTTCCAGCTGTTAGAGAGCATCAGTCCACATTACGTCTGTACCCGTCTCCTGCTATGAGTTGGATGGGAGGGATAAACAGATCTTGGCTGGAGATCACCAGCCAGATGACAGTGCATCCAGTACTTGGGAAAGTTCAGCTGAATGCAGGTCATGCTAACTAAGCCTGTCATGATTCCGCTGGATCATGATCTTCCCAAAGAAAACAAGCAAAAAGCAAGCTAGTTTTGCAGAGGCAGGCAGAGTTTTAGAAAGATAGCTGTACTTGTCTCTATATCAGTGGCTAGCAACATACTTGGAAAAAAAAGATTGGGAAAGGCTTTGAGCAGGCTGAGAAAAGAAGTGCTGGAGAAACCTGTTTGTTCTTATTCATAGCATTTGTGTAAGTATTCTTCTAAAGAAATGCAAGTGAGATTTAAAGGAAACAATGTCTGAACTCTGTTCAAGAACACTCCTTGGGGTGGGGGAATTTGGGCAACAGTCAGGACTGGTTGAGAGATGGTTTTCAAGGTATATTACTAACATCAGTTGAACATCAAGCTTCCAAGTTAATTTGGAAGTAGTCTACATTAGATGATGCAGTGGTTATTTTCCACTAGTTAGTGTAGGAGAACACTTTTTAAAATTATTATTTTTATATTTTTTAATTTAGAACAATTGAAATAGTGGCAGTCTGATACTAAAAGTTGTTAGCATGAGGATTCTTGGGTGCGGAACTGCAGTCTGAAAGAAATTGCTTGGTTAACAGGCAAAATATTTAGTAAGTGTTTCATTTAAGTACCTAGGCTATATACGAGTCCAAATACAACACCATGAAATGGAGGGTTCACAGTTACCCTTAAGGGTCTTTTGCATTCATTTCTTCTCAGCCTGCTTCAGTAAAGGTCTAAACGATTAATATGATAAAATAACAAAGGAACAGGGATAAAAGTTGTAATGCTTATGATTTCTTTCACTTCTTTTTTCTTTCTAAATAGCAAGCATAATACAGAATTTGAGTATATAGTTCAGAGATTTAATTGTGGAAGGTGAGTC